CGAACAAAATAAAAAACTATACGCAAATCACTGAACAGATTGCTCTAAGACTAATAACCAAAATACGACATCCTGAAAACCCACTCCACAACCCTTCCAACTAACTCCTTTACGAAAGTACCAACATAACCAAAATGACTGACAGACTAATAAAACTTCAAATGAAATGGAAGGATAATCCTAACAGTTTGACAATAACAAACTCACTATGCATAACTAGATAAAATAGACAATCACGATACCACTTTCCCACCTCGACACTATTTGAGTGTTGTTATAATTGAGAGTTATTTTTTTATTTTATTCATATTATTATAGATATAAGGAAAAAATATTTTATATAAAAAAAACATCTTGTAAACAACATAGGCGGAAAGACCATGTCGTCAATAGCCTTTTTTCATATGAAAATAAAGATGAACTATATATATATGCATTTTTTGACAGTCAAGTTTAATTTTCCATAACTTGTTTTTTATAAGAGATGCAAAACTAATTTTTTGCACATTGAGACATGGCACCTTTGGCTACAACAAGCTAAAGTTATATTGAAATTGATTGACCCAAATAGGCGGAACAACGAATTATTTCCAAGCCTGCACCTGTCAATTTTTTTGGAAAAATGGATATTATTCCACAACGGTTGATATTTCGTACCCAGTTCATTTAACAAAATGACCCAAAAATCCGACAGAGAACCCAAAAATGTAATAATATACAGGGTATTCCATGTAAAAGAAGCGAGTACTTACTCTTCCGGTATAACCGGACGTGGTACCGCCTTGACAATATTTTAGATGAGTGAGCCCGAACATCATTACCTTGTATTGAAAGTTTCAGAACTCTGGTAGTTTCTGTTTGGCGAATACTTCTAGTGTAAGCTCCGAAAGACGGACCCTGTATACCGTATTACACCGTTACCGTCGAAATATGAAGGCCATCCGACAGTGACGTCACGAAGACCGATTCGGACTGTAAGTAGGCCGAACAGAGTCAGGAAGACGCTAATTTATACAACACGTKCTTGCATTTTGGYGGTGGKTTATTAGGCTTGTAATCGATTGCATGCTCTAAAATTAAGCTCCAAAGTGTGTATTGAGTGTTTTATATTTGTGTTTTTTAAATACATATGGTAAAATGCCCTATAAGTGCTGTGTACCCAAGTGCAAAGGAAATTATAGTGGCGAATCAACTGTGAGTGTGTCCAGTTTCCCAAAAGACGATGGGTTGTTGAAACAGTGGCTGCGAGCAATACCTCGAGACAATTTTCAGCCTACGAAAAACAGCAGAATTTGTCTACACCATTTCCAACAAGATAGTATAAT